TGTTTCAATTGTCTTCGTACACATCTGCATTGGCTTTTGTTTATCATTAAAGGTAGTCAAGCGTAACTGCTTCGCAATTATCAACGCTTATCCGACAAGCATATTTACATATGGACGTATGTACAAATTTGTATACGAGTGGATATTTGTATATGTATGCACATTAGGGCGATTCAAAAATGCATGTAAAAAAGTGAAGTCCGAATTTTAATACTCTCAGCTCTAGATCGAAAAAATATACCGCTATTTTTTATTTTGAAATCAAAAAATATTTCTCTTCGGGAGACTCCCTTTTTTTTTTTTACTATTTTTAGCATTTTTTGCGGCTTTTTGGGGACCTATAAATCATTGAAAGTCTATTGAAGAGAAACACCGAATTTTGATCGAAAAATATAGATTTTTAAGGATTCTATACCATTTCTACGAAGAATTGTTTTAGTCTAGATTATTTTATTGCGGTGTAAAGCAATCCGAATTTACCTTTTTTTTTGGACCACCTTAATGTACATATATTTCACTGCTCTCTGAATATGCATCTTAAAATGTCCAAAAGTCCGCCCATGTGAGTTATGGATAATGTGCGATTTCACTTGCGGTCATCATGGTTTTACTACATACTACTACTATATACATACATACGTACACCAGCGTTCAACTAATTAGAAACGATATTCAAAATGATATTGTTTGCAAATTATGTTTATTTTTTTATTTCTCATAATTTTAGTTTAAAATATAATTCATTCTGTAACAGAAACCACAATAATAAGAGTTTTAAAGCTTGCACAAATTGCAAAAAAAATTAATCAAACTTCAAAAAATTGGCATCAAAATTACAAAACTTGAATTTAGAACATTTAAAAAATTTTCGGGTATGCAGTTTTGCAGCCCATTAAATTGTAGTAAAAGAAAGTGGAAGTATCAAGTCGTTAAAAATTACCGTTGATTTTTTAGAATTTTTTTTTGTGTTTTTTTTTTCATAAAAAAAAAATTTTGGAATGAATGGAAGAAAATGCGCAACACACTCCACACTAAAAATTTAAAAAAATCAACGGCATTTGCACTGCATACCCGAAAATTTTCAAATATTCTGATTAAAAATTTGGAAACATTTTTTGAAGTTTTGATACATTTTTTTGCAAGCTTTGAAACTTTTATTATTGTGGTTTCTGTTACAATTGAATTATATTTTTTATGAAAATTATCAAAAATAAACAAATCAACATAATTTGCAAAAAATATCAATTTGAAGTTCGTTTCTGATTAGTTGAACGTAGGTGTATATATACATAGTTGTGGCTTCTGCCAGCGTTGGCCTGCTGATGGGCGAATCTTGTTAGTGACAACCCAATTGAGTAAGGCTTTATTGCGAACTTTGCATTACATACACACATACTTAGTCATATAAATATTTGCAAGTTGGGAGCAGCGGGTGTTGCATTTATTTTTAGGTCATGCATGGACTGGAGTGGGTGACAAGATGCCTTAGCCGTCTATGGTAAACTGTTGCAAACACAGACCGTACTGAGTATCTATCTTAAAAAAAAAACAAGCAAGACTACATACATACATATAGACTTATAAATATTTTGAGCCTACAACCTAGTGAAACAACCATTTTGGGAGCTCAACCAAACTACATATGCTGCTTGTTTCTACGTGATAAGCAAGCCTTGAAAAGATTTTCAGTGGATTATAGTTTACAATTTTTGGGCACAAATTCAATCATATCACATACAATTTTATGTATAAATTTTCCTCAAACATTATTTCGGTCTCAGATAGCCAAAGTAAAATTTAGCAATAAGTTTTTTCGTAAAAAATCTTAACCCTTAGACTACTACCATTCGAATTTCCACATGACTTAAAAAATGTGCTCCGATTAATTTGAGCAAAAATTGCCAATTATTTTTCAAAATTTTCTAGAGTAATAATTATTTTTTACTTTTTACTTATTGAGTATTGGTATGATTTTTTAAGATTTTCGTGGGTTTTTAGCGGTTGGGAACTTTTGTTTTGCTCCGCGTTTTACTTTTGTAGATTTTCGGAATATCCTTGGGGTTTTTTTGTGATGATTCCATCCTTATTTTCCGAGATCATTCGATATTTTTGAGATTTTTTTTAACTTTTTTTAAACGAACGTATTCTGAACTTTTTCGGAATCTTTCGAAACTTTTATGGACTTTTTGAAATCTTTTGAGATTTTTTACTGTTCGAGATGTTTCGCAAACTTTTCGGAATCCTTCGTGCTAAACTGCTCGCGAGACACATTTTTTTCTCAAAGGCCCATAGTAAAATTTTAGGGATCAGTTTTTTTGAAAAATATTTTAAAATTTTAACTTCTACCATTCTAAATGCATATGTACATCATGACTTAAAAAATTTGTGTTGTTATTATTGTATTTTGAGTAAGATATACATACATATATCATCAATGTCTGACAGCTTATCAAGAAAACCTAGAGATTTATTCGGGTGCATTCAAGATTTCTCGGGATCTTTTGGAGTTCTGCGCGTTTTACTTTTCGGGAAATTTTGGATTTTGGACGGAGGCATTATATATTTTTTTTCTGAGATACTTTAGTTGAAATTTTTGATATTTTTTTTAGAATTTTTTTTTTTTATATTTTTTCTGGATATTCGAAATATTTTCGAGACCATTCTGGATTTTTTTTTGGTATTCCTCGTGCTTTACTTCTCTAAATCTTTCAGAATTAACCGAGGATTTTCGGAATTTTTTTTTTTAAACAATTTTCGTTTTTTTTGGAAAGCTTTCGGAAGATTTGGAATTTTTTAGGATTTTTTCAATTCCAAAAATATATTTTTATCATAAGTTTGCTTTTTATGAATATCTTAAAAATAAAAAGCAAAATTTGAAGGTTCAAAAATGACTTAATTTTTTTTTTGCATTTCATTACAGAATGCTTGCTCGGCACAGTCTTTGTTAGTGTTAAAAACTATTATTGTGAAATTTATTTTTGCATATTTCGAAAAGTTTTAAACCACTGCTTTATATTTTCAATGTTTTTTTTTTTAGAAAAAAGGCCTTCGCAGATTTTTCTCTGTCTTCGTTTTTATTTAGTGTTTCAGTTGTCAAAGCCATTCTTTCTTCAAAAGCATAACCCACGCAAAGCAAATGGGAGTGTGAATGATTAGTGACTTGGAACAAATAAGCCAAGTTAATGCCATTGCCAAAACAACAGGTCACTCACTGCCTTACACTGGATGAACATACAAATTTACACATACATACATATGTATGTTGTTTGCAAGGAAAATATTTATGTAATTATGAAAAATAGGTGCAAATTGCTTATTTTCTCGTCGAGTACTTGCAAAGCTTTCCAATGCACTGTATGTATTTGCATAAGCCTTTCGCTTTCGTTCAAAACCAAATGCTATTGAGTGGCCCCACTTCTTTGGCGTGCCATTAAAGCTTACTTATAAGTACTGTCTTAAGTACCAATTTTCAGTTACATACTTTGTCATATGCACATATGTATGTATATACATACGTAAGCGTAGAGTGCAATAAAGCGCAATGCGACCGACATACAAACATATAACTTTTACTGCGTTTTGCTTTTGTTATTTTGTTTAAATTTTAACGCATTTTTAGTTAGTTTTTTTTTTAAATTTTGAGAAGGATGCACAGCTGCATGCAAATAAAAAAAATGCAATCTATAATGCATTTCTTAAATTGAGGTGTTAAAATTTTTTATCGATTTTCAAACAGTGGGATCGTGTTTCTCTTCTCTAAATCTATAACTAATCGATTTTAAGATTTTAAAAATATTTTCAAAATAAATCATTTTGAAGCCCCTTTCGTTTTACACCTACATTGATGTAATATTTTACTTCACTTATTAATTAATTAATTATAACGTTTGAGAAAGGTGGCCACTCGCTTAAAGAAATATCCAGCATTCAGGTTATAACCTATCTGTTTACCATATTTCATTGAAATCCGATAAGCCATTTTATAGTGAACGAGCAATAAACATGCACACACACTCGGAATACGGAATGAAAAGGGAGTGGAATTGTTTCCCTGTAAATATCCGGACTCGTATTAGAGCCAGAAAAGTCATAGAATTCTGAGTTGCAACCAGTGTTGCCAGATTTTTAAAAGACTGAAAATTGTCGAAAAAGAACGGTATTTTCTACCAAAAAACTGTAACACTCAAATTAACTGTCCACTTTTTAAATTTACATACAAACAAAACAGAAAGAAAAAAATTAATTTACTCATTCAAATCAGAAATTTCGAAAAAAAAATTTAATTTGTACCAGGAAGTACATAATTTTTGCGGCGACATTATCAGAGTACAACATTTTAAGGAAAGAGCACTCCATATGCAGGGCAGAATAAATGTAACATTATTTCGAGAGAAGAAAACCAAAAATCTAGAAATAAACCTTGTCGATAACCCCACGTTAAAAGTCTTTGTACTTATCTGAGCTCTTAACCGCAGTTAAGCCTTTGATGGGAATAGGCTATAATCTTGTCTAAAAACTGTAATTTAGTATCAACTTAAAAAAGAGCCAAAAAGTAGCATAGCGGTCCCAAGCCTCAAAGGAACGTATTTTAAAACAAGATAACAAATATTTTCTTACTTATTTAATTCTTTTTCCCTTTTGGTTTATTTATTTATTTATTTAAATAAATTTTTTCGAAATAAAATTAGAATCATTTTGAGAAACCGAAAAACCTCATTTTCGGTCTATTACCGAAACACTCCCAAAACACTCCCGCTAGGATATTTGCGATAGGGGAGTCCCCGCGGAGTCTTTGCGGATTATCTGAGCAAGCGTTTTGGGACTTCAAATTACTAATTTAAGCAATTCTAAAGGCAATCTTTTTCACATACTGAGAAGGCCTTTTTCTCCGAGAGATATGCATGCTCCTTTGGGACTCTTTCCGGAGCCTCCCTAGTGGAATTAGCGCATCTCCGCTGGTTGCCTGGAATTTATGTAACTACAGTAATTTAAAATCTCGGAACGGTTTCGCCCGGCTCGGCTCCGTTTCCTGTGCGTACGCACACTTAAAACCAAAATGCAAAATCGAGAATGTTTTGGTAAAAAATTTAATTGCGCACTAATTTTCTACTATAATATATTCTACAATCAATATGTACAGTACATCTTCTCTAAAAGCGAACTTCACCTCTGTTAATCTTTTCAAATATATCATTAGTCAACAATCCATAGCGTCCAGATGTTGTCTGATAATAATAAATGGCATCCTGAATAATATTTGGGTTGTAGCCCTCCTTTTGCAGATCAACTTTACGCAGTTTGTATGTGCCGGTTATATCAACATTAGTTAGAAATCTTATAAACTGCGGCCTAGCGTACGAGGGCAACACCTTCGATATATCCTCTGCGAAACGTTCCAGGTTTACCTGCCGTTGTGGATCATAAATCGCAGCCATTCCAGCACGTCCCTCTGCATTTGGTATCGTTACACCATAGACGATGGTGTCCTTGTAACTAGCAACATTACTAACCTGTGCCTCCACTTCACTTGTGGACACATTTTCGCCCTTCCAACGAAAGGTATCGCCAGTGCGATCCATAAAATAGAGATAACCGCGTTCGTCTGCGGTCAACAGATCGCCGGAGAGAAATGCCATATCACCTTTTTTGAAAACATTATGCGCAATTTTCTTCGACGAAGCCGTCTCATCAGCATAACCAAGAAATTCGCGCGAGGGATTACCCTTAATAATTTTACCTATGAAAACACCCGACTCGCCCGGCTCACAACGCTGACACAGGCCATCGGCGCCGCGTATGGGCTCACCAGTATCAGAATCTGCTTTTATTATAGCTATCGGATAGATTTGTGGAAATATACGTGAAATAAAGCCAATGGCACCAATTGTATTGTCATTATTCATAATATTGGCATTGCCCTCGGTGGCGCCGTAAAACTCGCCCACTTTTTTTATATTAAAGCGCTTGACGAAAGGCGTCCAGATTTGTGGGCGCAGTCCATTGCCGAAAACCATACGAATTTTGTGCTTGCGATCGTACCCGGAAGGTGGTGTGGCTAATATATAGCGCGCCATTTCGCCGATATATTGGCCAATCTAGGAAGAGGGAGTGGGTATAAAATTAATATAACTTAGTAAAAAGTAGCTCTGGAGGCTTACCGTGCAGTTAAAGCGTACACAGTCAGCAAAGTAGGCCGAGGCTGAGAACTTTTTCCGTATAGCAACTGTTGAGCCAAATAGTAACGCTTGCCCTATGCTCATAACACCGCCAGCTGTATGATAGAGTGGCAGCGGAGTGTAGTAGACGTCCTTCTTTTTAAAATTTAGGGTGTAGTGAATACCTGCGGCTATGAAAATATACCTGGAAATAAACATGAAATATATATTTACATAGTATAAAAACATCTGTCCCATAAATGCAAACTATTTATGTTCAGCTAAAAGAAAATACCTCCCTAGGGAACCCAACGATCACTCAACAGGCTCCCTCGGCAATGTTTTCCACACTTCGCGCCTAGTGCGAAGGTAAATCCCAACCGTCCTTCTGCGTCCCACTGCTGAAACCTCCAGCAAATGGGGGAGGGATATCTTAAAACAGCCGAAGCTCGCGAAATCCGTGCTCTTAACTATGGAAACATTGAAAGTCCAAGCGAGACCTCAGTACTAGGAGGAAGAAACTTAGGTGCTGTGTTTTAAGAATTTTATGGAAGGGCTCTAGAGAGCTGAATTGGAGATAATATTTCCAAACCAGCAGGACTCAAAAGGATTTTAAAATTCGTGAGAAGACTCGCGCATAGCCGATCACATTGGAATGGAGCAAAACCTTAAGTCATGCGAAGGAAAACGCCCCAATCTGGCAATAATAACTTCTATAGAAGCTTGCGGCCAACAGGTGTCGCATGCAAGTGGGAGCAGGTGCAACCGCATTTACAGCTTACGCGAACGGTGCTTCCTTCTTTAAAATTGCAAATATCAGTCTCAGTGAAATCATCGAAGATATTCGATGCACATAAACTCAATTTCCACTACTAGCGCCTTTCTACTTACCGCGAAGGCTCGGGTTTTATCCGACCAATGAATATTGTTCGACCATGTAACCCTGTTTAAATCGGCAAACCCTATCAATCTCTGTCTGCTCTTGGACTAATGTCTTCCAGCAGGGCTGCTCCGAGGTCTTTTGCTTCGGTCCTGAAACTTCGTTCTGCTGCATATAGCAGATAAAGGCCCATCTGGACTCCATTTTAATTAAGGCTCTATTTCGCAAAGGAGGTAGTCTTCTAAGAACCTGTTCTAGCTTAGAATGGGTTTAATAGTAAGTGGACCTGATGGTATGTATGTCGTTTCTTGTTGCTCACTCCGCAGGACATCTTCTGCCTTCACGGGGCCAACTAGACCCCTCGGCTCCACGAACTTTACCTAAGCAACAAGTAAGCACCTGCCGCCTTACTCCCTCACTTCCACTTCCTCAGTCGAATTCCCGTGTGACGGCTAACCAACTGGGAAACTCCTGCCTTGGCTAGTGATATTTCCGACTACGCTCTGGTCTACGCATCATCCGCGAGTGGAAAATTGACTACCACAACTACTACAGCTTAGAGCGACAGGAGAACCTTAGCGTCATACTTCTAAATCTAAAGAGCACTGGTTGTGAAGTCCTCGCGTATGCTGACGACATAGCAATCATTGCAACGGTCAGACTATTCCGAGCTAGGAATATTTGGGATATCATCTTGATATAGATAGCTTCTCTGCGGTCAAAACCGTTTGGTAGTAGAAGAGTTTAACTCGCAACGCTTTTCTTGACATTTAAGCATGTCAAATGATCAACGACGAATTTTATTGGCAGATCACCAATAGATATCCCGGCATAATCTTCTATACTAGCAAATAAGGGTGTCCACCTACGCCAAGTCGTGTTTGGGATATCTGCATTTTACGATTATCCAGCATTAATTGCTTTATAAAATTATCTAACTTCATGAATATATTATACCGTGAATGCGAGATGACTGCCGCCTTAGGTAATCCCGTCGTGCCAGAGGTGTAAATATACACCAATTTATCGTGATGATTTGGCTGTTGAGCTTCGGTAGGCAACACTTCATAACCGCTGCAAGAATCTAAAAGAGCTGTCAAGTCCTCCACTAGGTTACGCATTTGCTTATTTCCACAGTTATTAAATTGGTATAACTTGGCATGAATGTCAGAAGTAATATCGCCGATTGTCTCCTCGAAAGCTTCGCCATATATAAAAGCTGAACACTTAGCCACATTAATGCTGTGAAGTAGTGATGACCCCTTCAAGTTTGTATTGATTAGAGATGTAATAATGCCGAGTTTCGAGAGGCCTAACCAAATGGCAACAAACTCTGCACGATTCTCTAACATTAGACCAATTACGTCTCCCTTTGTGTAGCCATGAGTATGGAAAATGTAAGCGATGCGATTAGAGAACTCATTGAGTTGACGAAATGTCCAACGCTGCGTTTCACTTATAATGGCCATCTTCTCAGGATATTTGTTTACATGCTTTTGGAATACATCGCCGATAGATAAGTTCTTGCGCTCATAACGTTTCATAAGTACGAGTAGCTTTATATAAGCCCACAAAGCACTGGAAAATAAGAGTTGGTAAAGTTGCTTAACAAAAAAAAATTAACAGGGCAATTCTGGCAACTGTCTCTTTCAACTCACCACAGTCTTTCCAAAAACAAAGGTCTTTCGTAAGATAGATAATTATTATTTTAGGCAACTACCTTGAAAGCTCTTTTCTGTCTTTCGGAAGACTAGATGAAAGATTTGCTAACTAGGGGTTCTTTCTGTTTTTCTCTTTCTCTTTTAGTAATGTTTCCTAAGATTCAAATAAAAAATATATATTTATCTTTTGAAACAATAAAAACTAAAAATCAAAGGAAATTTAAATAAAAAAAATATTTTTACAAAAAAAAAATCTAAAAATTACAAGAAAATTAAACTAAAAAATGAAAAAAATAAAATAAAGAATGTCAGTAAAAGAAGGTCCTAAACATTAAATAAAAAATATTTAAAAAAATAAAATAAAAAGTAAAAGAAAATTGTATTCAAATGTAAAAACTTTATTTCAAAAATAAAATAACTCAGTTAAATATATGTACATACATATATATAATAATAATATTTATCATCCTTAAACAATTAAATCTAAAAATCAAAAGAAAATTAAATTAATTAATAAAACAAAGTTAAATAAAATAAGTTACTAAAGATTAAATGAAATAAAAAAACAATATTTTTCCTTTAATTGAGAATTAATCCTAGGATTAAAAGAAAATTTAATTTAATGGTAATTAAAAANACAGAAAAGAATCAAAAAGGTACAAGAATTAATCCTAGGATTAAAAGAAAATTTAATTTAATGGTAATTAAAAAAGATTAAATAAATTAAAAAAATAAATATTTTTAAAATCAAATAAAAAAATATAAAGAAATAAAAAAGGTTTAAAAAAGTAACGTAATTAAAAATATTTTTCTTTTTAAATAACTAAAATCTCGAAATAAAAAAAAGTTGTTGCAAACGAAACAATTTTATAAAAAAAGAAAAAATAAAATAAGTATTTTTAAAGCAAAAGACCAAAAAGAAACGAAAGGTAACACAATTAAATCTAAATATTAAAAAAAAACTAAATTACATTTTATAAAATAAGTTCCTTAAGTTTAAATGAAATATTATATTTTCAAAGCAGTAAAATCATATAAAAATTTATATATAAAAAAATTATAAAAGAGTAAAAAAATTATATCTAAAAATTAAAAGAACATTTAATTAAACAATAATATCATAAAACACTCCTTGAAGGTTGAATGAAATTACAAAAAAAAATTTAAGAAATATATAAAGTAACACAGTTAAATCTAAATACTAAACGCTCCTGAAGATAATGTAAAACTTTAAAAATTTTGTTTTTAAAGCAATAAAATCTAAAAAAAAAATTAATAGATATAGGTCCTAAACATTAAATTAAATTTAAAAAAATATATATGAGGTACCACTTAAAAAAACCATGTTGAACTCGAGATGACCTTGAAAGAAAATTTCATTAAAAAAAGAAAAAAATATATATGAAAAAAAAGAAAATAATTTAAATGTATATTTCTTTTTAAATAATATAATCTAAAAAATAAAAGAATATTCAAACAAAAATAATTAAATCGGTTTCTTAAAAATAATTAATATAAAAATATTTTTCTTTTTAAAACAATAAATTCCTAAAACTAAAAGGAACCTAAGTTAAAATACAAATGTTGGCAAGGGAAACTTTGGTGCCAGAATAAACAAAATCTTTCAAATTATCTTGACTAACTGTCAATTGCCTTCAGAAGGACCATTTTAGCCATGATACAAAAAAGAAGGTAGTTTCATTTAATGACATTCGTTGTTGTTGTTAACCATTTGACTTTTAATAAAATTATGACATTTCATCAAATTCATGCTACCTGATCACTAGAAGAAATATTTTTTTTTAACCAGAAGATTTTATCAGTACATTCAACGATGTGGAATATGATAAACTAGAAAATTATGCCGGCTACATGATTTCGAAAATGGGGTTGACGACTAGGTTCAGAAAGCATGACGAAAGTGTATGCTTACATATCGTCGCTTAAAGTACAAAACCGCGTATCGTCGTTCTGCAAATCCGCGTAATTGACATTTTTTGCCAAAAATAGGATTTGCTCACACAAGCTCTTGGCTCAAGCCTTATCCATTCGTCCTGAAATGCGATTTCTTTGTAAAAAAAGAGAACCTTTTGAAATATGAGTGTTTTTACTCTCTACAAACAATTAATGCAACTGCGTATGTGAAAGTTGTGCATTTTGTCGATACACGGTTTTGTACTTTAAACGAGGATCTGTTAGTTGTTTATCGGAGGGCGATCTCTTCAAGCCGACTTCAGGTATTTTGCATAAATTAAGAATTTGTGAAATTTAATGATGATGCGCTAATCACAAAGCCTAATTTTTTGCAAAATCTGATGAGAAATGTAAAAGTAAATTTGAACCAAAATATAAAAAGGTTTTATTTGGGAAGAACATTATTTAGAATTCGACTTTTAAATCGCAAGATTGCATTCAAAATAAGAAAACAAAAAAATAACAGAATAATGCGCGCGTGGTTTTTATTACAAAATGAAAAGAACAGTTACAATGAAGTCTCCTTTAACAGTTTACATTTTAAATATTTTTAATAAAAAAACCACGTAAGTAAAAAAAAGTACCAAGCACTAATAATGGTTTTTGATTTGAAATGTTATTACATTGGTATAAATATGGGAAAGAAAATACTCCGATTTATTGTTTTAATATTATCAAAGTGGCAAGGCCGTTGATAATACTCACAATTTATGAAACTTCAAAAAATTTTATTATCCGTCAAAAGTTGTTTATTGAAACTACCTTCTTTTTTGTATCATGGTTTTAGCCAGAATCAAGATTTGATCGACAACTCAGTTAGGCTCTCTTTTAAGGTACGATCACGTCCAAAAATATAAACAATCGATTCGAAATTCATAAAATTTTTCTTTTATTGTATGGTCCTTATGAGAGCAATGCCAAATTCAATCACACTTTGTTAAATACATTTTGGCCAGAATTGCCCTGTAAGTTGTAAAGTAACATAGTAATAATAACTCACGTCATGTCCCGCTTGCACGTCAGAGCGGCAATGTAGAACCAACGCCAACCCACAGTCACCAGCAGAATAGCAAAAAGTACGGCGAACATTGCCGGCAAACTACTTATCCAACCAAAGCAGTAATACCAGAGTAACAAAGTGACAACAGTTGCCGTGGTGCTTACTGCAACAACAACAACAATTTTACGCTTCCTCTTCGTGGGCGCTCCAAGCGCTGTGTAACGGTATTTTCTATGATCTATATATGCGTTTCGTTTGTAACCACCGCTGTACGCCCGCCTTAACTCCTCGTCATCGCCATCAATGTCAATGGTTATATGATTCGGTCTTCGTTGGTCTTCTTTATTGATTCTTGTAGAATGCAGTCGTTCATCCCTATGACAAGGCTGATGTCGATTATTATCCAGTTTACTATAGCGGTAATGTTGCACGTTATCCTCTGCTGTGTTGGTTGGTATTGTCGAGCTTCCGGTACTTGCCTTAAAAAAGCGTCTACGAAATTTTTGATATTGACGTAATGTTAAATGTCGTCATAATAGAAAATGTGGCGAACGCGTTGGTAAATAATTGGAGCGGAATATCAGATTACGCATAAGCATGCTGCAAAAGCTTGCAAGGATTATAAGGATTACCAACGACTAGAGAGAGAGTTAAGCAGAAGTAGACACAACACTTTCAACTCACAACTGAGCAAAATCGATTACTAAACAGCGAGCAAAACTTGCAACTTTTTTTGCGCGCACATAAAACAGTTATTTTACTGCTTGAATTTTATAAATGTATGTATATACATATGTAGGTATACTTTATTTTATTTTTACATATTTTATATGCTGTTTTATATTCAACTATTTTAATGCATAACACTACGGCTTGTTTGAAAAGTTTATCACGACTAAATGACAGTGAAAAGGCTTACCATGCCACACCACCCACACAAAGTTGTATGTACAGGTGAATTGCTTGTGTGCTTTCAAAGGACACAAAACACAGGGTGTATCGACCGAACTAGGACCAATTGGAATCTGAAATAAAATGCATACTCTATACTCAAATATCTGTGCCCCGAAATATCTGTGCCACGAACTAGTCCCGGAAATTGAGAGGCTGACATTTTTTTCCGTTTTTTAAACAGTGGACTCGTGTTTCTCGTCTTAAAATCTATAATATTAGTATAATAAAAAATAAAAATTGATTATTTTTTTTAAATATATCCGTTGGATTTTGCATGCTTTTTTTCGAAGAACAATATTTCTGAACAATTTTTTTAAGGCCAAGGGATGATTGTGGCTCAATGGCAATATTTTGTTCTTAAAAGGCAATTATATTAGCTTCCAAAGCCATTTTGTTCCGTATCAAAATATTGCTTCTGTCGAAAGCGCTACGATTAATTGGCATGAAGTGCTAAAAAAAAGCTCACTGTGTGCCGTCGAGTTAGCTCGACGCTCGAATACCTTATTTTTCAGTCGATAAATGTAATTTTGAAATTTTAAAATTACCACGGTGTATTTTTCGCAAAAAACATATGACTGAAAACATATGATTTATAAAAAAATATTCCGACGAACTGATAACCTCCTTCTTTTTTGGAAGTCGGTTAAAAATATAATTCATTTGTAAACAATATATAATAAAATAAAATCAAATGTCTATCATACTTGGGCGTACAAAGTTTTTGATTCTCATTTCTCGGGTTCACGATCCGGCCCTGCATATGCATATATAAATATCGCAGGTCGGACAATTTTTTCATTTCTTCCAATCCAATTTGGATTGGCTAGGATTTATTTTCTTCCCAAAAGATCATACTTTGAAGTCAAATAAATAAACGGAAGTAAACATGTTTTTAAGACGTAATTTACAGAAAAACTGAATATTTCTCTGAAATTTCGTTAAAAATTATGCAAACTTGTCCAAAAATTTATAAATAGCTTCTAAACCGACAGTTTGATTGAAAAGTGTGGCAGACGCTGTTGGTGGGATATTTAATTACCTTCAGGATCATAAAAAGAACTTCGAAATTTACTAACTAACTACCCCTGGATAAAATGGCAGTTTAGTGAAATAACTTCTTTTGAAAACTCGACAAACGGAAATTTAGCTATATCTCGAAAACTGTTTTACTTTCTTAACATTTGATTTCATTTTCGGATTCAGGGGCAAATTTTATATAAAGCATGGCAGTCAAATGCTATAGGTCAGAACATTTTCTTAAATTTGTAAAGTTGTATTATTTTTGAGACATAAAACTTAATTTTAATGTTCGGCTTCGGCTTGGGTATTCGGCCGTATATTGAATAGTACCTAATATTAGGCTTCGGCTTCGGCTAAAATTCAAGCTTCGGTCGGACACTAGTAGATATACAATATACAATAGTCGTTAGAGATCACACCATTCTATAAAAGGAAACCCATAACGTTGCTCTTAAGTTTAAACAAAAAGGAAATAAATACTCTTACGGACAGTGTTGCCACTTTGTGAGTAATTCCTCAAAACGTGAGGAATTTCGGGTGCGCTTGAGTATTTTTTGTGGAATTTTCTCTCGATATATTTGCAGATAACAAATGCATGCTTTTAAATGGTCGAACGTGCTTACATTTCTTTCTGTTTTGACATTCTAGGTGTCTCAAGCAATAACAACATACATGGCAGGGTGGTGTTTGCTCTACTGCTATTACTTGTTTAATATGCCTTGCTCCCATCCAAGGCGCATCCATATATAAGGTGATAAAAACCCCATGTATTTTGTTATTGCTTTTTTGTACATCAGGATATCAAAATAAAAGGAAATAGGAGATAATTTGCGTCTTTTCGTTTTTATGACATCCTAAAGTTACGCCATTTCGTCATGCATGACATTCTGCCGTACTAGTGTAGAGATAGAAATATCAAATCAGCTGTTCCAGTAACATCACCTTGTATAGATGCGCCTTGCTCTCATCTTGACAGTTTGCACGTCAACAGCCATCTCAAAAAAATTTCTGCATTATCCTCTCCTCAAACTCTTCCATTCGATCTGTCAACTGGCTTACCGGATTTTCATGTTCATTTTTTATTATTCAACTCTTCACTTTGTATTGTAGCTTTGAAAGGCGATATGTTATCAGTGCGTGTGTTTTTAGTATTCACACTGGAGGATCGCGTATTCATGCTGTATTTATTAAAACACGAAATTTACAAAACTCGCAGATAGATGGCGCTCGTAGCAGTAAATCTGTAGCGAATGTCAATAATTCGGTGCTACCGTATCACGTTTAATTATGTTTATTTAATTAAACGAGTATCCAATACAANGTGTGTTTTTAGTATTCACACTGGAGGATCGCGTATTCATGCTGTATTTATTAAAACACGAAATTTACAAAACTCGCAGATAGATGGCGCTCGTAGCAGTAAAACACAAGAGCGGGTGAAACAGTAGATGTCAGAACAGCTTATATCAGATCATGATTCAATAATACAAGGTTCGATAAACTGACAGTTGTCTCTC